TGGAAAGTTTTCAGTTGTGGAGGATGCAGTAGAGTTTTTTTTAATTGGTTTTAAGTGATCAAGTTATCCGATGTTCTCAAACACGCGTTATTGAACTGAACTGGAATTGACCTTGTGAGAACTTCATGCCCTCGCTCCTGTCAGCTGCTCCACCATGATGAGTTATTGATAAGGCTCCAGGGCAAAGCCCCACCTTTGCTGGGATTCTGAAGGTTATTAAAGTAGTAGTCTGTGTATATGATATACTGACACACACACACACACACACACAAACACACGTCAGTCTCCTTCCAGCATGAAACTGAGGTTCATCTACATTCTGTACGTTCATATTTACTTTTCAGCCAAATAACAATCAATGACAAAGTGTTGACTCTGTGTCATCTGATATGAAAACGTTATCTTCCATGTATCTTGACACATATATTTGGTAGTACTCTGATTTTGACTTGATTTGTACCGTACACAGCTGTATGCAAAGATGTGGACATCAATGGGTAGATAACATCAGCTCATGTTATATAAAGCAACAATGATTAAACATTTGAAGATCATCTGCTGCCGGGGTTGTGTTTAAAACTTTTCGCTTCTAAAATCAATCAGGAATATGAGCTGCACAAACTTTTTCAGACGACAGAAACAGAAGTTGTGGTTATTTGCTCTTGAATCATGGATGTTATCTGTGAACCAGCTGAACTCTGATCCCTTCACTGCTGCACTGAGATGCCAATCAATCAATCAAATATTCTAGTTTCAAAATGTCAGCAACAAAATAAACTCAGTAAATAATAACACAGGAGTACTGGGCTGATTTGTTATTGCACTGATAATGTCGTCGGGCTCGGGGTCGACAGGTTTTTTTAATGTTGTTTTGTTTTTAAAGCATCAGAATTCATGCAGCACAACCACAGATATTGTCTTTTTTATTCCACACATTCTTCTTCCCTGTCAAAACCTGGCGCTTACATTACCCACAATGCAGCTCAACCCCTGACAGTTAGGTTGTTGATTTTGGTGTGTTATTCTAGTAGCAGCTCTTCTAGCCTCAGGCGCAGATGAGGAGCAGTCTGGCGAGCTTAACTCCACATCCCCAATTTCTTCTTTTTTCATTTTCAAACTTATATAGTCTTTAGACCCGACTGACGCTGACTCGAGTAACATCACTGGGGGCGATTTGTCAGACTTTACACAACTTCCTCTGGATCCACAGAAGGCTTTGAACAACCTGATTCACACATTCAGTAGTTTTTCCAGAGAACTGTAAACACACTCTCTAAATGAAAGCAACTGTGATTGGCTTTATCAAATATTTGAATTAAATGCATCTTTAATTTACAGCAGATCAAGAAGCAACCCTTTCTTTTCCAAACCTCACTACCCAGAATTCAATGCATCGGTATGAATTACACAGATGAGTGGACGCCTCTCCTCTTCCTCTAAAAACTGGTTGATTTCTCTCGCCCTTTTAGGCTTCCAGCGGCGTCATCGCTGCTCCGCTCTCAAAGATATTTGTGAGTGTCTTCCCTGTTTCAGTCCACCGGCCGGCCGGTCGGGCAGCAGGCCTCCTGCAGCCGCTGCTCGGAATGTAAAGCAGAGTTAAAGTGCATCGATCACCAGCTCAGTCTGGTGGATGAGAAAGATGAGGAACAACTTTCATCATTTAGCAGCAAACTGACTCATCAGGTCTGAAGCTTGCAGTGTTTTCACTCCTACCAGGTGTTCTTTACAAGTCTGAGCCCAACAGCTTCTTTATCTTCTTTATCCAGGTGTGCTTTGCATCCTGGGATGTGGTGCAGCTATCTGCAGACGGAACTGTCTGGAAACATTTATACTGGGGCAGAGTTTAAATGGATACATCTTTCTCCATATCCCGCCACAAATTAGTGGTTCAGAGTTCAGCAAAATTGACGTCTGTGCAAAGAATCTGTGCATATTTAATTTGAGTGTGTGAGCGAATTTATCCGTCTTGATTGCAGCATTTTGCAGAATTCATAAAAACAAGATTTAAACTAATTTGCTGTAAAATATCAGCACAGTGACAACACGACGATTTATCGTAAAAAAACTATTAAACAGGGATGATAAGATCTGACCTGGGATCAGACAGTAAACTAAGTAAAGCTCCTTTCTTCTCCTGGTATTTTTTTCTTCGTATCGTTTGTACATGAATATTCCCGAGTATCAAACAAACAGTTAATTCACAAATGAAACTGAATGGAGACACTAACTGGAGCTCATTAGACTCTCATGATATCGCTCACTTTCTGTTTTATTTTATACACCAGCCTCTCTCTCCCTCCCTGCTCATTCTCATGCTTCTCTCCTCCTCCTGGTTTTTAAAAGTCCTTTCAGCCTCAGCTTAGATGTTTTGGAAGTTGCCATGGCGAAGGAAGAAACCCTCCATTGATGAATATGTGCCGCAGAAGTAGCGTGTCGCTTCCTCACAGGGGATCTCTGGAAGCGCTGGTTCAGAATCTGACGACAGCTTAGAGCAGCTACCTTGGCAGGTCAGAGGAGAAGTTCCTCTTGTATTTGACCGAGGGAGGGGTAGTGGTGAGGGGCCTGATGGGAATCTGTGGCTGAATGGGTGTTTAATCAAATAAAAGGACGCATTGAACAGTTTATTCAATCTCTGAACCCCTTACGACTTTAGTGTGGTTGATTTGGCTCAGGGAGGGTGAAGCCATCTGGACTCCAGTGGCTCTAATTAACTGATGAACCGGAAAATTCAATGTTCAGTTCCCTCCCAACATCAGTGTGCAGTGATATGAACAAGCTGTGGGAAATAAATACATTTTCCCAGGTGCCTCTGCTTCCTGTAGGACTATAGACGTGACCTGAAGCGGATATAGACCGAAAACATATTCCATGTTGGGAATAACCTCATCATGACGTCACTATGAAGTCAGAAGATTGGGTCATATAAAATTTCATTTTATTTTATAAAACGTGAAAATAATTAAGTGAAGTTGATTTTTTTTTTTAAATATATGAAACTATAAATTTGCTGGTCGAGAGAGAAAAGTGGGATGAGCATCCAGAAACTCCACTGCGCTCTTTTGTATCTCTACGTTCAGAATTTCTTTTCCATTTAACCTGAACCTTTCTACCTGTGTCTCGCTGTTTGTGTTTGACTCTCGGTTGTTGTTGTTGTTGTTGAGTTTCACATCTTCACAAACCTGCTCTTTCAGAAATCCCGTCTGATTAGAGCTTTAAACTGTCAGCTGGTCCCTCTGTGTGCGGCGTGTCCACAGGCTGGCGAGGTGTGTGACGCTCATGTTGAGTGTGTGTGTTAGTGCACAGTGTGAGCCCTTGTATCTCAGACTCTGGCTCCGGCGCTATCTGATCCCCCCGCTGTGTTTGCTCTCAACAGTTTTTTTTATCATCTGATTCCCCTGCTGTCTATACTCTCAGTGGGTTTTCATTATCAGATTCCCCCGCTGACTCCCTGCACCACCTCCCCTCTCTCCGCTCTGTTTTCAGGCCTTTTTCTTGACCGTGCAACCAAAAGCTTCTCTCTTGTGAATGTATTCAGTTGATATTCAGCGCTGGACCTGATCTGTTGGATGTGGCTCCATCACCTCGTCTCCAGGCTGTTCTGTGCTACACAAATTGGTCTGAAGCTCCTGCTGCGTGTCGAGCTACGGCTGCTTTGACCCACCTGTTCTAATTACAGCCAACGCAACATTCACTCTGCTCTAGTAAAACCAGATCCTCAGTTTTCATCCAACATTGAAAGAAGTTGAGAGTAATCTGTGAACGAAAACACATTTTAGATTTTTCTATTCATTGTTATGATGTGAATATCTGGAGTTCACATCAAGAAACGGTTGGTGCATGGTCGTGTCCCATTAAACCACAAACGAGACAATGTACGATGGATTCATTAGCGGAACATCACAGTCTCCTCTTTGATCAATTGATGCCTTTGTGGACTCAGTGGAAACTTAAGTGACGTGGAAGTTACTCCCTCACGAGTTGTTTTCGATTCCGCGGCGGTCTGCAATCAGCTGTTTGGGTTGAAGTTCACGAGGAGCAAAGATCCTTTGGTTTTTTTCGTTGTATTGTCGTAGAAATGGCAGAATAACTGAAGATTCATCCGCAGCTGATCTCTGTCAGTTTGACACTGAGGTATTTTTTTAAAAAGGATTAAACAAAAATAAAGTTTGGTATCAAGCTTCAGATTCATTGTGTACATCGCATTCTCTCAGAGGTGAAAGCTTTTGTTGTAAGAATGTTTAAAGACGTGACTGCAGAATGTGTAATCTCAGACGTTTCCTCGAGAATCATTTATGGATCTAAATGAATGAGTCAGTCATGTTGAGGGGAATGAAGTCTGTGTGTAAGTTTGACTGAATTGAGATTGAGACTGTTTGCTACACGTGAAGTACAGAGATCCGGGTTTGAAGGATCCTGGTGTGATGGAGAATCTTAGAAACAGCTTTTTACTGAACATGGAGAGACTGAAGAAGAGGAGGAAGAAGAGGAGGAGGAGGAGGCTGTGACAAACCCACCTCTCTCTCCCACTCTCTCTCTCTGTCTCACTCTCTGTCTCTTTCTCTGTCTCTCCCTCCCTCCCTCTCTGTTTAAGGGGATCTCTGCCTCTCTCTCTATGTTTGAGGGGACCCTCCCTTGCTCTCTCCCTCCCGATCTCTCTCTCCCTCTCTCTGTCTCCCTCTCCCTATCTCTCTGAGCAGATCTCTGAGCTGGAGAGGAGAGGTCGCTCATCTCTCTCTCTCTATCTTCCTCCCTCACTCTCTCCCTCTTTCTCACTCTCTCTCTGAGCAGATCTCTATCTCTCTCCCCCTCTCGCTCTCTGAGCAGATCTCTCTCCCTCCCTCCCTCCCTTTCTCTCCCCCTCTCTCTCTCTGTCTGAGCAGATCTCTCTCGGAGCTGGATAGGAGAGGTCGCTCGTCTCTCTCTCTCTCTCTCTTCCCTCCAGCAGCCGCCGGGCTTCTCTTCTCTTCTCTTCTCCTCTGCAGCCTCCCGTTCGCTTCACCATGGATCTGTGGACTAAATCAGTCGCTTGGATTATCTCTCAGGTCTTCGTGCTTCTCTCCAGCTCGTACGGGACAACAGGAGGAGAAGGTGAGCATGTGTGGCCGTGCGCTCTCCCACTTTTCCCCGGAGGAGAGGGAGCGGGTCCGGGCTGCGCAGACAGACCCGCGGAGCCGCGACCTGTGGTTGTGATGTTGAATTAGACAAAGTGAGCCACAGGTATTTCTCTCCCGTGGGAGTTGGTGCGCACTGGTTGTGCATCAGTGCTCGGAGGTGAAGAGGTTTAATCTTGTCATTTGAATACAGAATTAACGCTTTAGCAACGCGTGCGTAATCTCTGGAGCCAACTTTTACGCACCGTCCGTACCTGTTTAATTTGACTTAATGTTAATCAAGTGTGAATTGGTTCCAGAGGTTTCTGATCCTCAGAGCTAAATGTTTCAGTGAAAGGTCTCAGCTGTGTTCCTGAAAGATTCTGCTCATGGCAACTGTTGGAGTCCAGTTGATTCCCTGTGCTGCTCTTTCCATGTTTTTTGATTAATGTGGTGCTCAGGGCAAAATGATGAGCATCCTGAGACTGAGTGTGAAGGTGTGAGAGGAGGATGGGGAGGTGGGTTTGGGGCTGAGAGGTTGCTGGTTTGATTCTGTGATGTGGAGATAAAGAGGAATCTGTCTCCTTTCTCTCCTCTGTAATTGCTGTTGAACACTGTGCCAAAAGCACCAGACAGTTTTCCTGTGTGAATGTGAAGCGGGGGCGTTGCTGTCCCCGTCTCCTGCTTTAGAGAGGAGGAGGAGGAGGAGGAGAGAAAGGGAGGGAAAGAGGGAGATGGAGAGAAACAGGAGAAAGTGAGGAGAGAAATGGAGATGACGTATGCTTGTGCCTTATCCAAAGAGATTGCAAAACTCCTCCATCCTCTTCCCCGACACAATCATCTTGTCCCTGTCTTATTTTCTTCAGCCTGATTCTTGACTTTCCTGTTTCCTGCCTTTGCTGCTTCTCGGCTGCAGAAAACTGTCAACTGCTTCTTTTAACCTGTGACTAGTTCCCAGCTTTCTTTGTCCTCGCCTCTCTCTTCTTCTTCACTGCTCTGTCTATAAAACGCCATGGTCATTTCAAACCCATCCTGTGCAGCCAGGCGTTTAGTGAAGGTCACACTTTCAGCAGGGATGATGATATTTCTATTTGACAGAACGTTTAAAGCGTTTCTAGTTTGAATACTTCTGTAAATATATAGATTCAATGAAGAGTTGCAACAAGCTGGTGCAAAATGATGAAACTGACACTGTGGAAACCTTGAAGCTCCTTAAGGCAACACTGAGTAACTTTTACTGAGCAGTAATGAACGAGGAAACAGGAAGCTGATATTTTAGGTTTTGCTTTGAAGAAAACAAGAGGTGGATTTAAAGGAATCCTGATATTCCACTTTATCGAGGATTTATCCGAAGCAACACTAGACCTGATCCCTACATGAGATGTTTTTGTGTTGGTGCTGGATTTTGAGTTTCATGTCGACCTTGAGAGGGAGGAAGGAAAGAGGAGGAATCCTGTGAAGAAAAGATGCAGGAGATTTGTTTTTCCTCATCCTTCCTTCCATCTTTCACTTCTGTGAAAGAACATCTCCAGCTTCACCAGCGTACCCGAATCTCTCCCTCTTTTCCTCCCATCACGTCTCTCCTTCAGCTGCTTCTCTTCTTTCCTGCTGTTCCTGACTCAGATCTGCTGATGACTCTCAGTCCTCACCTCCCCAACTCCTCTTTCTGCTCGTTGCTCTTTTCTCTTCCTGCTGTTCGCTGCCAGCTTCTTTCCTCCTCCTTTGTCCTCCCAACACATTCACCTCTCTTTCTCATCCTTTGATTTTTCTCTCCATTCTTGTTTTCTCTGTCTTCCACCTGGATGTCAGGTCTCCCGCTGTATTTGAATCAGCCGCTGCTCTGTCTTCCCTGGTCTTCTCTTCCTTCAGTCTTATTCTCTCCGTTTCATGTCCAACTCTCTCTCCATATCCTCTCTCCTGCTGCTCATTTCTGCAGTTTAATGGTTTCCGTCTGAAGGTGGTTGTATTTGGTGTCAGCTAATAGGATTTGGTAGAATTCTTTGAAACCGTTAAATTTATAGCAGCCAGTATTTCCTGAACGAGAATTTGACAGTCATTAATGATCCGGGGATTAATAAAGTATTTGTGATTCTGATTCTGATATGAAATAAATAAGAGCTGGGCGTTGTTTGCAGCTTCTCTCTCTTCTCTGCACAAATTGCACATATTCATAGAAATCAGTTCCTCAAATATTAGTATAAAATAGTATTAAGAATGAATAAAATTAATAAGAACTAATAAAATTAATTATTAAGCAAATCTACAGGTATCATTATATTATAGGTTGGCAATCATCAAAATGAATAATATATAATTTCTAATTAACATTTTCTATTGGAACAGTTTTAGTTGCAGTCAATGTTTTCTGCCATCAGTGCCTCATTTTCCCTTTAGGCTTCTCTTCCTTTAAATGGAATCTCTCAGTATTTGTCTCTCTCTCTCTGTGTATCTTGCCCGTTCTGACCCAGCAGCACTCATCATGCACGGACCATAAGCCACTGCAGCATAATAAGTAAAGTCTGCAGCCGTGGAGGTCTCAGCTGCAGGTTTTAAACAGGGCGTCATATCTCCATCCTCACTGGAGACAGTTCACTGTTCATTATGGAGGTGGTACGAAATGACAACAAAGTGGAAATACACATTTTAACGGCCGCAGACAGGGCTCTGATGACTGGTTAGCCGGAGCAGCGAGCGGATGAGAGAGTCGCTGGAGTTTACTTGATGAGGTTCGAGGAAGCCAGGGTGTGAAACAGCCCCCCCGCAGGGCCGAGGAAGTCACTGTGCATTTAATCGCCTTTCAGTATTATAATATGAAAGAGCAGCTCGCAGAATAGCAGCCAAATGAATAAAATGGAAATGGAAATGTGCAGTGAAACAGTGATTTACTCCTCAGTCATTGGTGCTGCAGGTTTAAATGTCTGTGTTAAAGGATGTGAGATGTTATTTACAAGGAAAAAACACGGTTTGAAAAAGCTTTAAACCGTTTGTTATTGGTGTTAGAGCTGAGGGGGTTTTTTTTGTCTGTTATTTTATTTAAGCAGGGTTGTGCGGCTGCAGCACAGGTGAAGCAAAAGTTTGGCCATTAATCAAAGTGCTGGTGGTTCAGTCCCCAGCTGCTCCTGTGCACGTGTCCTTGACCAAGATTCTGAAAGCTTAAATTATTCCCCCAAAAACAAGCATCAGCCTAAAACAATACTGAAAAATGCAACTAAGAATCTACAATTCTGACAGTTTTGTTCTCAGGCAAAGTGATGATTTACGAGCGTTAGCCACAGACTGTAAATAAAAATGGATGTGGACTCTTGGTCCAGGAAATGAAGCCAATGTAACAGTGCCTGAAACCTGTAATCGCTCGAATGACCGCAGAGAACACAAATTTGCATCCGACGTTTTCCTGAACCGCTCCCGCCTTGTAAAATATCTGAAGAGGTCGGGGGGAGGTCATGTGAGAATACGGCAGGAAAAGGCAGAATTCTAGGAAATGTAGGACACCGCCAGGATTTAGAATGCAGCAAGTTATGAGTAAAAGTAGTGATATCTGTGCTGCTCTGGAGTTGATTTATTGTGAGAGTAAACTATTTTCAGAATAATCCCCAGTGTATCTGGTGTATAGGAACCGTATCTCATGGTGGGTTGTTGCTCCTGTAAACAGACGAGTTGACCTCTGTCTGTCTGCCGAGAGACGCAGGTCCAGCTGCTGAACTGAAAAAGCTTCATGAACTTTTGACTGTAAACTCTAAAGAAGTTGGAGCTGACCCCCCCACACACACACCGTGACATCTTGAGACTAGCACAGGAGTCGTTGTTGCAGAAGAAGTTTTTCCGCTCAAATAAAAAACCTACATGAAGACAGAATCCCAGATTAAGGTCCATGGAGGTTTTTTTCACATCCACGGACAAACTCTAAAATCCTTCAAATGTTCAATCATCATTTTCCCAGTTTCGACTTAAATTCAGTCGCTTTCGAGATCAGGAGCATGGTTTGTGTGTGTGTGGGTGGATGGAGTGATGGTGATGAAGCAATGAGCTTCCAGTGGATTCATATAAAGAGTGACACGAGAGAGAGAACAATGTCACAACGTGCTGTTCCCAGTTGTTCTGGGTCTAAAATGAGTGTTTTGATGAAGAGACTTCGGTGCGAAATTGGTTTCCTGGTTCTTCTGTGTGACATTGGTGCTGAGTGGCGCCTCCTCAAAGCAGCATTTGTTGTTTTCAATAGAATTGTGAGAGGGCGAGAAAAATGGTGGAGTGGAAATGCAGCACAGTCAGAATTAAGCTCGAGCCTCACTTAGCTCGCTTAACCAGGTAGGGTTGTTGAGCATGAGGTTGCTACGTCAACTCTATAAAGACAATTGACTTTGTTTCCCAGCCGGTTGCTTTTCTGATTCTGTCTCTGTATATAAAGATGGATAGGTCATAAACCCCGCCTCCTCTATGTTAGCAGATGGGACGTTGCCAAAAATTAGAGTCCAGGTACACGTTAAATACATATTCCTGTCATTTTAGGTAGTTCTTAACTCACTGATGTAAGTTTGAATGTTTGTTTCTGGGATACTTGATTTCTGGAAAGTGGGATGAAGTGCATCTTTCATCTTTATTTACAGTTTATGTTCTGTCTGTTTTGACGTTTGTGTACGATGGGTTTTCACAGCTTCTTTGCTGAAACTGACCCTCTGCAACTGGAGGTGACAGTGATGAAAGCCGTGATGCGGAATTAACTGTGACAAGTTTCTAAAACAAAAACAGAATAATAAACCGTTCATTGATGCTAAGAGAGGAAGTAAAGACTGGGGTGATGAGTCTCTGTGAACTCACCGTTGTAAGCAACTCCTCTCACATTGTGATTCATCGGCCCAATTGTTAATCTAAAAGTGCTGAGTGGTGCAGCTTTAAAAAGGAAAGTAGACTTCCCAGTCCTATATGTTGTGCACCAAACTGTACCCAGAGGAGAAGAGAATAAAACTCCCAGGAAACAATTAATTCACTTCATTGATCTTC